TCCACTCATTATACTAAATGTGGTCACGTCTCTCTTAATAAAGAAAGAAATAATCGTGGCAGCAGCCCAGCAAATTGAGACTTCAAAATGTGAGTCCACAAAACAATTGATGGCCCAGTGGCTAAATCAGTGTTTTATATACAGTCTGTTGGTGACTCACCAAGCCACCTTACAATATTGTATTTCTGAATTTGATATTGACCTATAAAATGTCCCCTCACTAAAAATATTAACCAGAAAATAACATACTACACGAAAACCATAGCCATACAACCTTAAACCACCATTTAACAGCGGTGTGCGATATTTACAGACAGGCAAGCAAGTGCTTCCTCCTCTCACAACCAAATAAGTAAGTAAATAATAAAATGAAATAAACTGTTCCTTATATTCTCCAGTCTTTAAAAAGAAAAATTGGTTAGATATTTCCTATATTAGTAGACAATGCCGAGTGGTGGATAATTTTTTAGAACCACTGCTTTAGCAATAAAACACTATGCAAACACTAGGCCAAACATTCTTACCTTCTTCACACACAATGCGGTCCTGTGACCATGTGTAAGAATAAGATACCACCCTTTCAACTCATTCATAATAGTGACTGCCACATCTTATTGGACTATTGAACTTCACACGTAATGGGCACGAGACTTTAAAAAAAAGCTTTCTGTCGTGCTTTAGAAGGTTAAAATATATTTTTATGCATAATTAGTGACATTTGGTAAAGAACAGAAGAGGTACACATATGAAGCTATATTTATTCTTCCTCTGAGCCCCCAGCAGCATTATAAACACCCTCTAGTGTCTGGATGTGGAATACTGCTGTATAATAACCAAAATTTATGATAGTTTAAAAAATTGTTTTTTTGAAAAAAGTCAACTTTGGTTTAATATTTAACTTAATTAATTCGATTATTTTCATTCTAATCTTACGGATAAAACTAGAAACAAAAGTACAGCTCCATTCAGTATTTTCCAATGACACCACAAAAATGGTTTGCCTTTACCATTTGACTCAGGTAAGGTTTCTGATTAAAAACAACTAATGGTGTCATCGTGCCCTCTAGTGGTGGCGAGCTTTATAAAACAAAACAAAACAAAATACAGCATGCCTTTTAATATCGCTTTCACACGATGCAAGAGATTACGCTGCAGTATACCCACAATACAAACTTTAGGGGTGCCTGTTTGTATATTTTTCTAATAACCCTAACCCTATTTCCTAATTTATTCCTGAAGTTGGCGAAGATGAACTGATTAAAGATCTTATTTTAAGTCTGTTGTTTTCATTATTTGTGTTGTTATTCACATTTTCATTTTAGGATACATGAACCTCATCTAAACAATCTGACAGGTCAAATGTATCATTAAGAGTGTAAAACATTAGCAGAAATGAAAACTTGAAGTTCCAGTTTATAGTACAATTTAAAGTTTAATATTGATCTCCACTATCCCATGTCCAGTTCTGCCTCATTAAAGGATGTAGAAACTTGGCACAGCAACAAGTATATAAACACTGCTGTCTAATGATGCTAATGCTAATTTTAGTGCATGTCACGATAAAATTCAATACAGTGTAAATACAGGCAAGCTTTTAGGAGGGCTAAATCACTAATGTTACGTAGTTACGTTACTTTGAATACAGTTTTGCAATTTATGGTGTAATTTTGATGTTACAGAAGGAAAGAGGAAATAAGCTATGCGTCATTTTCGGTTACAAAAGGTTTTTCTCCCGATCTTATACTGTGATTACACATATTTTTGAAGTTTAATCATCATAATAATAAATGTGATATATAAGGTGCAAAGAAAGAGGTCCTGTTTGTGACTCTCCTGTGAATGTACAAAATCCTATACCATGTGATAACAACACTAACCAACACAGTCACGTGTTCTCAGTTTGCTCAAAGTTAAGTCTCGCCAGAAGAAACTGAAGAAATTATTAAATTAGTCTTAGCCCCGCACTTAAATGAGATTGAAATGATTATATTTATTTTCTATTTCCCATTATCTGACGTGCTGTGATGCAGGGGTGATTCTAGGATCAGAGATTTTGGGGGTGCTGAGCACCCAGAGAACTGCCCAGCCAGGCAAGATAAACTTTACTCGTCACAATGAGACTTCTTCCCCGTCTCTGTCAGTCCTTGCATCCTTAAATGTCTCCAGTTGTCCCAAGTTCCCTCTGACTGTCTCCTTGGTGCATTTAAACCCCTGTTCCTCCCTGTCCTCATCGTCTGTTGTCTTCATCTCCGTTATCAGTCATCATAATTTTACCATCTCTATGCAAGTCTGCAAATTTCTTTATTAAATCATAAGATTCTTAAATTCATCAAGTCTCTCTGTGCCTGGGTCCTCGTCACAAAACATGACATCATTGTTTTGTACATTTTAATAGTGAGTAAGAAGTAAACTGAGTGCATTTTTTGGACAGAGATTCACTTTTGATGTGTATGTATAATACAATACAGATATATGAAAATACACTCCAAAAATAGAGTCATTGAAATGTACAAAATATTGATTAAAAAAAAAGATAAAAATGGAGGCAACTTTGCCTATGGTACAATGTATGAAAATATCTTTACTGCAGATACTACTATGGCTCTGCAGATTTATTTCTTTTATTTTAACCTATGTGGCCTCACCTTGAAGTTGGCAAATCTGTCTATCACTTTTTGGTGGTCAACTCTCTCAAGCAGTTTAACAGTTCGTTTTGCCTGTCACTATTCCCTGTCTGTTTTCCTACCTGGTTCTTCCTGACCTTGCCCTTTCTCCTCACGTTCCCCTCTTTCCTCTCTCCCTCTTTGGACTGACAATCATACACAAATAGATTGTATTCAATTAGATGAAAAAATTACATTAATATGAAAAAAAAATACTATTAAGATCACTAATAAATAACAAAAATCCTCTCTCAGTGTACTTTCAACCAAAAGGCAAATAACCAAACCACATGTACATCTAATAAAAGATATAAATATTGAAACACTGATCCAACATTATCCTTTATTGACGGATCATTTGTTCTTACACTTTTACCTGAATGTGGCTCCTGGGTTTAATGTCGGCACATATGACAAAATAACCAGCTTCTCTCATTCCATTTAAAACAGGACAGTGGTAACAACTTTAGGCTATGGACAATTTTAAGTTTTAGATTTTAAATAGGCTGTATACATTTCAATGGGAGCAACAGGGCGGTCAAATGTTGCTGATTTTACTACAGAGCAGGACGGATTGTAGGGTAGAAAACATCGTGAAAAACACGTTTCCAACACTGCAGGTTACCTGGGTGAATCAGCTAAAAAGAAACATGGTCTGACTCCTACCTAACTATATAAAGAGTAACTGAAGGTTAAATGCAGCTAATATGTCCTGTTTTAAGCCAGGCACTTACACCTCCACTCCGCTGTGTCTCAGCCACCATCGCTCTGGCAGCAAGAGCGCCAGAGCCAGAGTAGGGGAGAGGCGAGCTGGAACAAACCATTTTGGGA